AGGTCCGTTTCATGCAAACACTGTTGAAGCAAGAGACAGATGCATGGGATTGCCGGGTGCTATCTGTATTTTCAGTCAGCAGTCGATGGTTATAGGCTGTAAGCTAGGAAAGTGGAGTTCTGTATGACCTTTTTCCCACTGATTCTTATAAAATAGCAAGTCATTGAAACCACCCTCCCCCATTTCTGTTTTCCTTCATTTTGGAAAATCTGGTCTGTAGAGCTTCGGATAAAAGTCCAGGCCCTTAAGCCCCACCTCACAAAGCGCTTAGCCCAGGTCATTGTCCCACACCAGGGCACTGGGCCGAAGGGGTGCGGGGGCAGGGGCAGTCCTTTTGCCGCTCCTGTGGGCACGCGTCCCTCCACCGTGCCGGTTTTATTTTTCCCTTTTAACAGAGAAAATGAAAAGGTATCCTCCCACTCCGACCTCTGTTCCTCCCTTTTTTATAAAGACCCTTTCTCTTCTTTCTTTTTATTTGCCTTTTTTTTTTCCCTTAGAGCATTTCTACCTTCCAAATACAAAATACCAAATTTACTTTACCAAATTAGGGAAAGGAGGTAGTGTGGCTGACCACACTTAGAAAGCATTGTGTGAGTTCTTTCCTCGGGGAGATTCACCTGGATCTAGCCGCAGGCCGCCTGAATGTTCCAGCGGCTGGTCAGGGCAAGGAGGGCTGATTCGGTCGGCAGCCATGAAGTAGTGAGAAGGTGATTGGCTTCTCCTCAAGATCTCGGCTTCAGTAGCACCACATTGCAGCCAACTGAGCTAACTAGGTGCACTTGTAAGAAGAAAGATTGCGCCTTTGTGGAGAATTATGCCAAAATTTCTGCTTCAAGCCCTGGCAACAGATTCTTTTGGTCCTCTTTAGTGAAAGGCCATTTGGGAAATGGACTGTACATGCAGCAAATAGGATTTCAGTTAAATGGTAACATTTGTTTCCAAAAGAGTACCAGAGGGGAAGCTAAGCTCTTCAGAGCATGTGTTCATTAAAGATTTGAAGTGGGGTGGGAAGCAATAAAAAAAAAAAAGGCCAGTGAGTTCTCTTGTGAGATAGTTTTTTGTTCCTATGAATTGAACACCCTCTGAAAAGTTTCAAAAAGAGACTGGGAAGAATGTATTTGCTTTGATCCAATATGTGGAGGGTTCCCTACTACAAATACCCCTTAATTTGGAAGCATTATTCAAGTCTGTTTGAAAGCACATAAAAATATAATATGTAAATAAGCTCTAATTAGTTATTTCAATTAATTATTTTTTGTCTCTGCTTTGCAGATCTGTTTTTCTCCCCATAATGTCTCTTGTCAGAGTCCAGCTTTGGCGCCCTTCAAAAAATGTGTTTTTCTAATAGTCGTTAATAAGAAAACACATTTTTTGCCCTGTTGAAAACATCACAGTGATAAAGTAAAATCCAGGTCATATATCTTTAGGGGGAATTGATTCAGACATTTTTAGTCTATAATTTGCTAGTATGATATTAAAGGAAATCTTACAGTTAATTGAAAAATAGATGTGTTTCCTTCTTCAAGTAAATGGTAAGTGGTATTTTTTAGAAAATGAATCTGTATTAGGCCACTAGCCTCTGATCTTTTTTGACCATCCTTTGTTCTTTCAGTAACAAATACTACATTGGATTTGGAGATTAAAAGTTTTAATTCTAAACCAAGTAAGATGCTTCTCAGTGGAGAGAGTGAATGCTGTGGGAAAATATTGGTAAAATGAACTCAGGTTGTTTCTGCATAGCAGATTTGTAGAAATTGACCAAGAACCTGAAATGATGGTTTTGGAAGCCTAGAGAGTATACTATGTGACAAATTACGAGCTTTTCATTTGAGGGGCTGCACACCCTCTGCACTTGAATAGAATTGGAATTTTAGAGCTTGGAGGGACCTTTGCGGCCACCTAGAAACCAGGGAGCCATCCTCAGCTTTTCCCCACCAAGGTCTCTGGTGGTAGTTGGCTGGTTGGGGGGAAATAGAGGTTCCTGGGCCCTAATCCAGATCTACAGACTCAAAGTCTTACGGGTGGGAGTTGGGGTGGGGACGGGGTCTACATTTTTCACAAACATCTCAAAGATCAACAAACATGTCAAATTCTGACACTCACTGAGTTTGGCAAACCGCTGATTTAGGCTGGCCCCTTTATTTGCAGTGAAGAAAGCAGGGCTAGAGAGTTTGATGAGTCAAGTTCACAGTCTGTCCTAGGCAAAAATGGGCTTTCTAAGTCTGGACTTGTGCTTGTCCATACACCATGTATCCCAAACAGTCCTAAGCACGCAGATAGGTTCAGACCTACTTCTGGGTCATTAGGGGTGATTTCAGCACGGAAAGTAGGAGAGCATAGTTCTAAATAAGGTATGAAGGTAAAGACACCCAGGAACTAGGGGTTTATGTGCTGTTGCTTCTGTCTAACCTAAAACCTGAGTGAGCCCTAACCACTCTCTCTCAGCCCTTCTGTCTTTGATGAGCCTCGAGACTGGTGCGCAGTGGTGAGAATGCTTAGCTCATTTAGTTAGCTCATGTAGTTGAACCCCCAGCATGTTAGGCTTTGGACCTGTGTTGATGTACACGTTTTTAGACCATGTACTTTCTTAAAATGCATATTTGTGTATTTTAATATTGCTTATATACATTGCATCTAAAAAATTATAATAAAGTTATTAAAAAAAGTATAGACTGATAAACCCAGTAGTACCTACTAAAGCATATATAAATATCCAGCAAATGCTTATTAATGTTAGTTACATCTAAAATTCAAAAAACCAAAAAACTAAAGTGACCCAAATTTATTTTTGCTGTGTTCTGTGATGAGAGTTTAAACTATAGTGATGATCTGGAATTCCTGCAGGACCATGATCATTTTCTAAATCATTAGGAAAGATTGAGTTTCATTCATTGTCATTTCAGTGTTAAGTCAATTTGACCATCAGCGAATTTTTGGAAACAGCAATATACCAGTGTCTAGGATGTGTCAAGTTCCACTGAATTCTGCTCCACAGTCCATGTATGAACACATGAACGATGTATAATTCTTAGAATGGACAACATATTTTTCACAGGGTTGTTAACAAAAAAATGCTGTTTTAAGAGGCAGGTGACCAGGTTAGGGGGATCAGTTCTAAAAGAGCTATGAGAAATTAAAATCTCTTTAAATGCAGGTGTATGTGTGTCAGGTAATATTCAGTTTATCATCCTTTCTGCATAAGCAGTTACTGATGGTCTGCTGTATGTAAAGCTCTGTGTTAAGTACTGAGGATAAGAAACTGCTCTGAGGAGTTTATAGTGTGGTTCTTGCTGGACAAGCACATAAAAAGGCACAGTAGTTTCAGGAAGCATGTGCCAAATGCCAGATGAGCAATAGTGCGGTCCATGAGTGCCGCAAAGAGCATTCCATTGCCCAGAGCCCGGGCATTGCAACGGCACCTCCTCTCCGCAGCCGCGGCCGCTTGTGTGTTCACTTCGTCTGTATCTGTTGCACACATCTCCTTGCTCAGCCCATCTGAAAAACAGGAGCTTGTTCTGATTTTGCTGCTACTCAGTAGTAAAGAAATAACCATTCTAGGAAGGAACGGTATGCAGCTTTTGAAGCATAATACTGATGCACGCACTTACTGTCTTTTAGTACCTCTTGTCTTTAAAGCAATAGGATCTAATTCTCTTCCTGGAGAATGCACTGTGAAACTGCTTGATTACCGATACCATTTTATTTGTGATGAAAACGAAAGTCCTTTTGAGTTTTGTGATATTTTCATTCAAGGAGTTCATGTGAATCAGTTTTTTCTTGGGTTAGCAGTTTGTTAAATAAACTGGAGCTCCTTTAATGGCAATGAGGTGCAACCGTGATGGTAGTGGTGATGAGGCTGATGATGATGGTGATGATTAATTCGTTTTATGCCCTTATCATGAAATAGGCTTAATGTGAGATTTCTTTGACCAGTGCAGTTCTTGGTCCAGCCATGAATCCAGAAATGGATTTCTGAAATGAAAGCAGTAGATTAGAAATGCCAGGATAATGTTGCTGTTTGTATAATCATGATTACCTGTTCTGGGCTGCCAGGATTTTGTCCTTTGGGTTGCGATAGAATTTCTGTACTCACCAAGAGAAGGTAGTTCCTCCTACCTAAAGAAAAGGCATGGCTTCTTTGTGACAGGGCCGAGATTATTACCAGTTCTGCTGAGAGTCCCAAAACAGTGCTCACAGAATCATGGATTTCCTCGGACATGAAAAGGGCCTTAGCAGTGACTTGCAGGCAGCCACTGGTCTTGAGTAATGGGCAGGATTTGGCAACGTGGAGATCAGAGAAGAGGGTGTTGTGTACGGAGAAGTAATATACGCCAATGTGTGGAGGATGGAGTGAGCACACTATTTGGGGAATAGCGAGGAGAGTTCTCTGATTGCAATAAAGAGGTTATATTCGCATTGGAGAGTAGTAGGAGTAGGTAGTTGGAAAGGTGATATGGGGCCAATCGGGGGACAAATTTCTTTCATTGACTATGTAAGTACAGGAAGGCCACGTATCAGTTTTTAGAATCTTTAAACTCAGACAAGCTTAGAAGCAAATCCAAACTCCACCTCTTACTGGCTTGGTGACTTCAGACAAAATTCTTAACTTGGCTAAAACCATCTCACGGAGATGTTGTACTTGTTAAATAAGCTCCTTTATGAGAAGTCCCCAGCAAAATGTCTGGTGGTGGAAATAAGGGTTTAATGAGGAAGAAGTGAGGTGCCAGTAGTGGGGTTGTAGAGAGGCTGATCTCTGACAGCTGTATGCAGAAGACACAGAAGAGACCAGAAACGGAACCAGTCAGGTGCTGGCTATGGCAGCCCTGAGGAGGTGAGGGGTGGAGGCTCTCGGGCTAGGAAGAGAAGGACATATATACATGTATTCTCTGAAGGTTTTTTTTTTTTCCTGTTGCGGACTTTTGTTTGAGGGTTGTGTAACCTTGTTCTGTGGTGTTAAAAGTACAACACTAATCATAGACTCATCCTTTTGCCTTGGACAGGATGCCAGCGATCCATAGGCCTTTCCAGTGGGAAAGCCAAGGTGTGCAATTACAGTGGGTGGTATTACTGCAGCAGCTGCCATGTGGACGACAGTTTTCTCATCCCCGCACGCGTAGTCCACAACTGGGATACTTCGAAATACAAGGTAAGTACAGAATCTCAGTGTACTTCATAATAGCAATGTGGGTGTTCAGCTGTTGTGTGGATTAAGAAATAATGATATAAGAATTTGAAGCACACTTGACTAGGTAGTCTCATAAAAGCTACGAGATCTTATCTAATGCTTCTTAAATAGCTCCCATTTAAAGGCGTCTTAACTATGACTTTTTATTAATTTCCTCACTTAGAAAGATAATATAGCAGTTTTTACTTCTGGGCCTTGATAATTAACTGTGGGTGCTAAAAAAGAATTCTGATAGAGAAAGAGGCCTCATTATTTTTTTATTAGATCTTATCTCCAAAATCACAGTACTCTCAGAGGCTAAAAATAGGAAAATAATGCATGCATGGGCATACTAGTGACTTTTGAAGGAGAGGCCTTATATAATCAAGATATTTCTTATCTTGAGTAGGAGTAGCACTCCTACTCATGTGAAGGTCAGTCTTCCAGCAGGTCCATCTCCCCCGGAACTAGAAGCTGGAGAGAAGCTATGAGGATTTCTGGGTGGGGGCCCACACCAAAGAACAGTGCCCCGAGCCACCCTTAGACCTTCACCTGGACTGTTGTTTATTTTTGTAAAAAGGGAGGAAGTGAGAAGCACGCTTTGCAAAGTAACTGCTAACAGCCTAGCAGGGTATCCCAGAAGTACAAATAGCAGACTTGGTAGCTATAAAAATGCAAGTCAACAGAGGAGGAGAGGAAGTCTGAGGAGCGGGACACTCACCTTAAGAGGGTAGAGAGGAGAGGAGCAACCAGCAAAGGAGACCAAGGAGGAGTGCATAGTGAGGGAGAAGGACCCTACTGTGTCCAACAAGCCACACAAAGAATGTGTCTTCAGATCAGCTGTGACAGAGGCTGATACGTAGTTCGGATAAGATGAGCCCTGAGAATTGACCATGGGATATAGGAATGCGGAGGTAATGAGTGACCTTAATGAGAGCAGTTTGAATTGAGCAGTGGGAGTGAAGGTCTGATTGGAGTGAGTTTGACATGGAACAGGAGAAAAATAAGAGACAAGAACAGACAACTCTTGAGAAGTTTTGCTATAAGGGGATGGAGAGAGATGGGGAGTAACTAGAGGGGAAGTAGGATCAAATTGGGTTTGGTTTTTGTTTTAATAGAAGAAATAACAGCATGTTTTCTATGCTAATGTGAACTACCTAGGAGAGAGAGAATTGCTAGAATCATGTGGTTGAGTGAGAAAGAATTGTGTAGACAGTAGGAGGGTTGGCCTACGCTTGGAGCAGGAAGTAAGAGAAAAGGTGGAGTCTGGATGTAGGTGCCAGTGGGTAGCTTAGGGAAGGCCCCTTCCATTTACTTCAGTAGCTGTCATCGTATTGATTTATTTCAGCACCTGTGAGTCTAAAGAGATTAAAGACCCAGCCCTGGTTACTCTGGGAAAAGCCTTTACCTTCTATTTCATAGAGTTTCAGGAGTGATTAGGCAATAATTCTGCCAACCCTTTTATAAACTTGTCTACATCTACACCCGTCCTCCTTGTCCTCCTTCCAACCACAGAAGAAACATCACTCCTTTTATGGAAGGTTTATTCCTTCTGCCTCTGCTCATGATCTTAGCTCCTCCATCAGTTTTGCCAAATCTGATTGACCCTTGTCAGTTTCTTGTTCTACTGGACTTCTCTGGGATATAGTATTGCACCAGGAATTCTTCTGCCTTGACTTGGAGGACACACCCCTGGTTCTTCTCCTACTTCCAACTCTTTTTCCTCTGTCACCTTCTCTGATTCTTTATCCTCTGCCTACACCTTTAATGTTGCAGTTCCTTAGCTTCATTTTTTTGTTTTCTGTTCCCGCTTTATACTCTATTGCATTCTCTCTTTCTCTTGCATAGTTTCAACTCCCTGATGATTCCCACCCTTATCTCCAGCTCCATTTTTGCTACTGCAAGGGAGATCTGTGGATTTAATTGCCAAATGACATCTCAGCTCTAGCTTTCAACCTAGTAGTCTTCAAGATATGTGGATTGTATTGCACTTGTTAGCGGCATTGTACCGCAGTTCTGCCCATGCAGAAACAAGGCAGTAGAATTTGGCAAGTTGGGGAATCTAATCCACTGAAGTACTGTAGGCATAGGATTCTTTTATGTTCCTGTATTCTGCCAGAACTGAGAATTCTGGTACCTGACTGACTAGAAGCTTTTCTGATCCTTCTGCCAGAATGCTGTCATCTCTTCCTTGAATGAACCTTCCACGCTTTGTCCCAACCACAGTCTGTATGACTGCTTTTATATCTCCTTGCTAATAGATGTCTGAGACTTGCTGTCAATGAAACTGTATCACCTGGGAGCAAGGTGGGTGGGGAAGGGACCCATAGCTGTCACCTGTAATTTTTTTTTTTTTAAAGATTTTATTTATTTGACAGAGACAGAGCAAGAGAGGGAACACAAGCAGGGGGAGCGGGAGAGGGAGAAGCAGGCTTCCCACTGAGCAGGGAGCCTGATGTGGGGCTCAATCCCAGGACCCTGGGATCACGACCTGAGCCAAAGGCAGCCGCTTAACCCACTGAGCCACCCAGGTGCCCCTGTCACCTTTAATATTTGAAGTCTAAAACAAACATGAAAGTTGTGAGGGGCCATTTGGTGGATACCCTCTCTGTATCCCTGGGCAGCTCGGTCTCCTGATCAATCCAATAACCATCCACATCTTCACTGTCTTTAGGGTGCCTCATCCCCATCCTTCTCAGCATATGACCTTGCCTCCACTTCAAGGACAACATTGAAACTACAAGATATGGATATGAATTCCTACAAATGTTTCTATATTTGTACCTGGCCTTACTGCTTCCCCTCCTATCATATCCTTTCTCTTGTTTAGAGATCATCCTTCCACATGTACTATAGATACTTTTCTCCATCTGGGCAACCGCTCTTCATTCTTCCAGAGCTGATAAAAGCATGTCCTCTTTGGCAACATATTTTCTGGTATTCCCCACCCTACCCTATTTGCTGCATTGCTGGCTCTCTCCCTTGTGCCACTACCATGCCGTGTGTGTGTGTGTGTGTGTGTGTGTGTCTATAATTAGACTTACTTAGGGGGTTAGTTGCAGGACCTTGCAGTTAAACAGGCATTTGTCCAAGTCCTACCTCCACCTCTTATTTGGGGCTTAATTTGCTGGGGCAAATTACTTGAACTTTCCTGAGCCTCAGTTTACAATTTATAAAATGAACTCAGACTGCCTGAGTTTAGGTCTTGTCTTGGTCATTTATTAGGTGTCTAACCTGGGCAAGTTATGTAGTCTCTCTGTGTTTGAGTGTCCTCGTCTGTAAAATGAGGACAATAACACTTCACAGGCCCACTGCCGGTTACCTGAGTTCATGCATGTGAAATGTTTAGAATAGTGCCTAGGACATAGTGATGCTGCTCCTCTCTGTGAGCTCCCTGGGCACAGGGAACCTGTCTTAGCACAGTCTCTGGCACGTAGTAGGTAAGCAAGAATGTATACTGAATCAGTGAAGGAATGAGGCCTGTCTTATGGGCCCCTCCAACTCGATGCCCCCAAATCGGCTTCACCACCCTCATCACATGTACCTCCCGAATGTTGGTGGCCCCACCAGTCCACGCTGCCAGTGTCGAGAGACAGCCTGGGCTCTTCTCTCTGCCACCACCCCCCCGGTCTAATCAGTGAGCAAAACTCATCCACTGGATTTGCATTCCGCTGCACCCACCATCCCACCTCACAGACGCAAACCTTGGGCATCACTCCCACGAAGGAGTTTGGTAGCCTCCTAACTGTGCTTCCTGCCTGCAAGTCTTGCCCCAGCAATGGTTCAGAAAACCCTAATCTCACCGTGGGTAAATTCTGTACCCTCTCTCAGTCTCAGTTTCTTCACCTTTAGAATGGAGGTGGTGATGATAGTAATGGGAACTGCTTCATAAGATTGCTTTTGACTTAAAAGAATGATTCACAGAAAGCCCCGAGCACCGTGACTGGCACACGGGTGCTCGGTTAATGCCAGCTTTTACTATGGTTGTGTAGAAGTTAAACACAAATCTCTTAACCTGACACCAAGACCTTTTGTGATCTCTAGTCCCTGCTCTTCTCTCCCCTTCATGCACTACCTCCCTGCCCCCATGAGCGTCCTCGGTAAGGTCACACTCCCTCCTGTTCCTCGGTCCTGCCATGCTGACCGGACACCTCTCGTCTTCCTCTTGCCCTCATTTCAGCATGGCAGACCCTAACCGAGCCTGTCTTAAACCTCCCTTCCTCTCCCAGTTCTTTCCTTCCCCTCTCCCAGATGGAGTTATCATTCTCTCCTCTGCATCTTGTACTTGACACTCTGAATATAGGCTATAAATATATTTGCCATGTGTGTATTAGATAAAAGCATATTTAGAGTTGAGTTTGGTTTAGATTATTTAGATTAATCTGCTTAGAGCAGGGCTTTGACAGCTAAGAGAGGTGTATAGAGAGCAAGTGAGGGAGGCAATCCCAGCCCCGCGCTCACCCGGGCCTTAGGCTAGTGGCACCTGCCAACAGAATATGCACCACTCCGGGGAGTTAAAATAGAAGAGGTGGCGCTAAATGAGGAAAGTCTGAAAATCAGGCATGGCTTAAGAAGATGTGAATTGGTGGAGGAGATCCAGATCTGTGTGCAGTGAGCCATTGAAACCATCGATTTAGCCATCAGTGACGCTTGCAGTCTTTTTCTCTAGAGCAGACATTTTGCCGTGCTGGTCATTCAGATGACAAGGTTTTATGTTGAGAGGATAAGTAACTAATTAAAGGTGTTAGGTACCCTCGCTTCATCCACCTTGTACATGAGGAAAATCTCCTTTGTCGGACCTTCCCTCCCAGATTCTCAGTGGACCAGGGAAGATTTTAAAGCAAGAACAGAGCTGGTCGATTTTATCAGGATCATCTCTCACTGGCATTAAGTAACTATATTCCATTTAGTCCAGGATCTGTCTGTCTTTGCTCAGACACCAGGATTTAACTTAATGTTTCTAATTGTGAGGATCAATTCAG